GAGAGAGAGAGAGAGAGAGAGAGAGAGAGAGAGAGAGAGAGAGAGAGAGAGAGAGAGAGAGAGAGAGAGAGGTCTGCTTCGCAACTCGTTTATGAGAGAGAGGGACGGGGAGAGGGATATGAAAGGTAGGGAGGCATCTCCGAAAAAGAGAAAGGAGGAGGAGAAGAACATGGAGAGCGGTGGAGACTTGTAGAGGTGAAAAGGTAGGTAGTATCGGCAGTGATAACGAAGAGAGAGATTTGAGCTTGGCCGCTGCGAGTTTGTCTTTCTCTCTCTCTCTCTCTGTCTCTGATAAATCCCTCTTCCCCCTCTGTTTGTCGCCATGATGGGCGGATATGGCGTCTTCGAAGTCTGGTTGCCGTGAAGAAGATGGAGGAAGGAGAGCGGGTGCAGGAGAAGGAGTTGTTGTCATTTTTGGGGGCTGTTGGTGCCCTTTACCCAGCCAACAGTACGAGTAAATGGCTGGTTCATCTCAGGCGTACTGGACAAGACACGTCGGAGGGAATCCAGAACACGAAATCGGCGGCAAAAGCGAAACCGAGGATCGTAATTTTTGTGGTCCCAGCCACTGGAAGCAGCCTTTTTGTGGTCCCAGCCACTGGAAGCAGCCTCAGGGCAAAAGCGTTAAAGGCCGGAAGGGGTACGAGCGAGCGCGTGTCGCGGTTTTTGCAAGGAGGAAAAGGCGGAGAGAAGATAGGAGGGAAAAGACAGATCGTGGACGTCGATATAGCTGATCAACGGCTGGACAGGAGAGTTAAATTCGCGAAGGAAGCACGGCAGACAGAGGCCGCACGATTGCCAGCGGCAGCAGCAGCAGCGGGAGGAGGTCAAGCTGAGCGGGAGGGAAGAGGAGAATCCTGTCGCGTGTTTGGAGTTCATGCAAGGAGGAAGAGAAGGAGGAGGAGGAGGAGGCTTACGAGGCAAACCATAGATCGCGGAGGTTGACAACAAGGCTGATCAACCGCTGAAGAGGAGAAGTATAATCGCTTGTTGCAAAGAGAGCACTGGCGTGAGGGATGAATGAAAGCATCTCCTCGGGCGAGTGTGAAGGATAATCATCAGTATCGTCGCCATCCTCATCCTCATCCTCTTCTTCTTCTTCTTCTTCTTTGTTTCTTCTTCTTCTTCTTCTTCTTCTTCTTCTTCTTCTTCTTTGTTTCTTCTTTGTTTCTTCTTTGTTTCTTCTTCTTCTTCTTCTTCTTCTTCTTCGTCTTCTTCTTCTTCTTCTTTGTTATTCGGGAATCGTCGTTCTCATCGTTGTGAGCAATCAAGTAGTGGGAGGAAATGTCTCGCCAGACAGCAGTGCCGCATTTCAAATCGAAGACGCTAAACGACAAATACCTCCTGGGGGACGAAATTGGCAAAGGTGCGTATGGGAGGGTATATAAGGGGGTGGATCTGCAAAATGGCGATTTCGTGGCGATTAAGCAAGTGTCATTGGAAAACATTCCGCCGGAAGATCTTGCGGGCATTATGCAGGAGATCGATCTGTTGAAGAACCTAAACCACAAGAACATCGTCAAGTATCTGGGGTCATTCAAGACCAAATCTCATCTGTACATCATATTGGAGTACGTGGAAAACGGTGCTCTCGCTAGTATTATCAAGCCTACCAAGTTCGGCGCCTTCCCAGAATCCTTGGTGGCTGTCTACATTGCCCAGGTTTTGGAAGGCCTGGTCTACCTGCACGAGCAGGGTGTCATCCACAGGGACATCAAGGGCGCCAACATTCTCACGACCAAGGAGGGTATCGTCAAGCTGGCGGATTTCGGCGTCGCGACGAAGCTGGCCGAGGCCGACTTCCATACCCATTCCGTCGTCGGGACCCCGTATTGGATGGCCCCGGAGGTGATCGAGATGTCGGGAGTCAGCGCGGCCTCGGATATCTGGAGTGTGGGGTGCACAATCATCGAGTTGCTGACCTGTGTTCCTCCTTACTATGACTTGCAGCCGATGCCCGCGCTGTTTCGAATCGTGCAAGACGATCATCCTCCTCTGCCGGAGAATGCATCCACCTTGCTGACCGATTTCCTACATCAGTGTTTCCGGAAGGATGGGAAGCTGAGACCGGACGCGAAGACGTTGTTGAGGCATCCGTGGATCAAGAGCTCAAGGCGGCAGCTGCAGCATTCTTGGCGGCAGAATGGAGGAATGAAGAGCCACATGAGTGAACACGTGGCAACCGTAGTGGAGAGGACGATCGAGGAGGGAGAGTGCGATGACAGTATGTCGTCGACGAGACAGGACCTGTCGATGTCTCTTCCCGCCTCGACGGTGTTGATGACCAAGGACCCGTTCGACGACTCCGATTCCGACGAGGATCGGAAAGGCCTGTCATCAGGCGCAAGCGTAGCGGGGCCTAGCGGCGGCGGCGGCGGTGGCGGGGGCGCGGGCGGGGATGGGCCTGGCAGCGTCAGCACTCGGCGCGTTCCGATTCGATTGTTGGCGGCCCGCGCCGCTCGACCTGCAGTGTCGGAAGCCAGCGAGGTTGTTGGCGGTGGGGGCGTTGCGTCGGGACAAGCCGACACCTGTCAGTCGCGACTGAAGGAGGTCGGGGTTGGCGGGGCACAGAAGGCCGCGGCGGCGGTGGGGCGGCTTTCCGAAATCCCCCAGTCGAACGCGGCCGTGCCGCGGACACGTGGCGATCACTCGAGGCCTCCCCCTCACGACGACTTGCCGGGCGGGCTATCGCAACGAGATGCTGGCAGCGTGGGCAGCCAGAGCGCGAGAAGCGCGGGAACGAGCACGGCGAGGGAGGGAGAGCAGGAGAAGTGGGCGATGGAGGGGGAAAGTCTGAGCGCGCGAGTGCGGAGTACGAATTCCCGCGCTTGGAAAGAGGAGTTGCCCGGCCGCGGGAGCAAAGTGGAAGGGCGGGAATTGTTCGCGAAACAGGCGGCGGAAATCCGGCGGCTCGTACAGCTGCTAAGACCGGACCAGGAAGAGGGCGTCATACTGTCCACGTGTCAGAAACTCGTCGAGATCTTTCGCGATTTCCCCGAGCAGAAGTCCCTCCTCATCACCACCCACGGGGTCATTCCTATCATCGAGATGCTTGATAGTGTGAACACCGAGGTGCTCAATGCCATCCTGCAAGTGGTTAATCAGATAATCAAGGACAACGTGGAATTTCAGGAGAACCTGTGCTTAGTCGGGCTCATCCCGACCGTGATGAGGTTCGCTTCGCTCGAATTCCCGAGGGCCATTCGGATGCAATCGGCCTACTTTGTGCGGCAGATGTGTCACACAAGCACCCTCACACTTCAGATGTTTGTCGCCTGCCGAGGGCTCCCCGTTCTCGTGCAGTTCCTTGAACCGGACTACATCGAGTACAGGGACATGATTCACACGGCCCTCGAAGGGATGTGGAGGGTGTTTGAGCTCCACGGCCCCACACCGAGGAACGACTTCTGCAGACTGTTTGCCAAAAGCGGAGTGATGGACAAGCTGGTACAGACACTGCAGTGTCTGAATGATGTAGTGCGGTTCGCGGGTGGTGGAGGGGGAAGGCGGGGCAGCGTTGCAACGGATGCAGATCGAGGGAGCGAGCTGGGAGGAGGAGGAGGAGGAGGAGGAGGAGGAGGAAACGGGGCCTCGAGTGTCTTCTTTTCTCTGAGGAAAACAAGCGCTGAGTTCACTGACATCTCAATCTTGCTGGATGACAACAAGGAAAACGCCGCCGCCGGTGGCGGGGTGTCACCTTCGCCTCGCAAATCCACTGCCACTGCGGCAGACACGAGCGTGGTCGTCGGGACCGGCACAACATCGCCGCCATCGCGCAAGCTCGGTTCCGCCTCTGCAGGTGGGGAATTCGACATCTCCTCCTCTGGTAACCACTCGACTCGCGTATCGTTGTCATCTCCCACGTCGAAGAGATCGGCGAGGGTATCTGGTGGCCGGCATAGTAACGGCATGGATGCGGCGCACAGGATGGAGCCACCTGTCAATGTCGACGTGGCAAGAGAGTATCTTGTAAAGGTTGCGGATTTGCTGCTGGAGTTCTCTCGCGGAGACACTGTCGTGAAGACCCATATGTGCAGCTTCAGCTCACTCCATGGACTGTTCAAAATGCTAGATTTGCTGGAATCTCCGATCCTGGTCAAGATTTTGAAATGCATCAATCAGCTGACGACAGACCCGATCACTCTAGAACACCTGCAGCGTGCAGGTGCCATTTTGCATCTGGTACCTTTCCTGAAGAAAGGCGACGAGGGGCCGCTGACCATGGAACTCGTGACGCAGGCCTTAACTGGGTTGTGCAATCTGTGTAAAGTCAACAAGACCAGGCAGGAACATGCGGTTTCGGCGGGAATCATACCCCACTTGAAGCACCTGATTCAGACCAATTCGCCGCTGAAACAGCTGGCAATGCCTCTACTGTGCGACTTGGCGCATGTGTCGCGGCACACGAGGCAGGAGCTCTGGGCCAACGGTTGCCTCGAGTTTTACCTGGATCTGCTTAAGGAGGAGCAGTGGGCGAGGACAGCCTTGGATTCGGTAGCAAACTGGCTGGCGTCGGAGACGGAGCAGAAGCGGGTCGAAGAGGCGCTGCTGAAGCAGGAGTCCCTGGACAAGCTGGTGACTTTCTTCAAGTCTTGCTGCGTACCGTCGATCGGCAACATACTCGAGCCGTTCCTGAAGATTATAACCAAGTCTACGAAGCTAAATAAAGCACTTTCGACGTCTGGGCTGACGCCGCTCCTGGTCTCACGATTGGAGGAAGGGGACGCGATCGTGTGCCTCAATCTGCTGAAGATCATCAGGGCGATGTACCAGCATCACCCAAGGCCAAAGCAGATGATTGTGGAGCATGATCTGCCCAGGAAGCTTCAATTACTGGTTGAGGAAACTAGGGATGGAGAGATCGTTCTCGTCAAACAGATGGCTTCGTCTCTTCTTAAAGCCCTTAACATTAACACAGTCTTGTAATTGTGAATACTGCATTTCTGCAGGTGGTTTTCTTGCACCCCCCTCCCCCCCTCCCCCCCTCTCCCCCCAGATCCTCCTCTTCAAATTTCCAAAACCCTGTCGTGCTATCCCCCTCGTCATCCGTCTTGACATTCACCGGACTTGTAGTAGTTCTTATATGTCGTAAAGCACAGTTCTGCACATGGATAGCCTTTTCTCATCTCGAGGCCTGTTAATGCTGTCGACCGTAAACAACCGTTAACAACCGTTAACAACCGTTAACAACCGTTAACAACCGTTAACAACGGCCACAACAGCAGCAGCAGCAGCAGCAGGGGTGGTAGCAGTGTTTTAATAAGTGTGCGCAATGCAGGCTTGGAGATGCCTTCATTTTGCTACCTTCACCCCCTCTCATCCTCTATTTTACTTATTGTAAACGATAGTCCCTTTGATGGGTTGTGGGTGTGGCAATGCAGCCCTAACAGAAGAGCTTTTGACGTTGCGAGTCCCTTCGAATGTTCATGTAATTCACACGCAAGAAACACAACAACAAGAACAACGGCAGAAACGACAATAATAACAACAAATGCAACAACCTAACGACAGCGAGAAGAAGAAAAAGAAAGAACATGAGCAAGAAGACGACAAAGAAGAGACGAGAAGAAGATCCACAACAATCAGTTATCAAAGAAATGAATCAATGAATCAATTAATCAATCAATCAATCGATCAATCAATCAATCAATCAAATCAATCAATCAATCAATCAACCAACAAACAGACAAACAACGATTAGCGACCAACGGCACCGATGATGGTGAAGAGGAGGGATCGTAGAAGTCTTTTAAGAAGTGCGGAAATTCTGCAGGTGGCTCTTTCTTTCACATCCCTTTCAGCCCCATTGCTTCATGTTCGACCATAGCAGTCTCTCTCAGTAGTCTCCTGTCAAAGCACTTCATGTAGGAAGATAGTCTTTAGCCCTCAGACTTTTTCTAAGGGGTTGTGAATATGATTTAACAGCTTTTCTTACAACAACTACGAGAACAAGCAGATACGAATGACAGGAGTAGCAGTGATTTGTGATTCTTCCTCTTGACGACGTTTTTACCACCCGAGGCGTCACTTGTAAATGCCGACTGTACTCCCGATAAACAATTCTAGAATCCAAACCGTGTGACACACAATAATAATGCCAAAACGACTGTCTGTCTCCCTGTAATGCCGAAACAAACTGTCTGTCTCCCTGTCATGCCTTAACCTGAAGTCTTTTTCTTGCCTTTCTTCGTTCTTGCGTTAGGAACATTCTTCTTGACGTAGATGGTCTCAGCGATATGCTCTTCCTTTGCCTCTTCCCTGTGATTATCTCTTGCATAACTGTGGCTCTGTGTGTGTGTGTGTGTGTGTGTGTGTGTGTGTGTGTGTGTGTGTGTGTGTGTGTGTGTGTGTGTGCCTTGCAAGGGGAT